TCCGTTCCCCCACCATCACCATCATCACCACCCCCCTCAACCATCCCCACCATGGCTGCCAACGGACAGCAGGTGTTCGACCCGGTGTTGGCGGCACACAACACCATGGCATCGTCGGCGGATCGCGCACAGAAAGAGCAGGCACATCAGTTTCTGGAGCAATTTCAGAAGTCGGTACGTACGGGTCCGTCGTTGTAAGGGCACAGGTGGCTGACTGGCGCGCAGGAAGAGGCATGGACAACCACACTAGCTATGCTCGAGTCCAACTCTGCAGATGCAGCAGCCAAGCTTTTCGCTGCCACAACTCTCAAGGGCAAGGTAAGCTAGTGTTTTGCTCATCAAAGCGCTCTCCTAACAGCCGGCAGATTGTCTATGACTTGCACCAAGTGCCCCGCGCTCAACTTGCCGAGCTGCGAGCTTCTATCATGCGAAACTTGGCCATTTTCCACGCTGGACCAAAGCCCATACGCTTGCAGCTATGCGTGTGTCTGGCAAATCTCGCAATACAGATGACCGAGTGGAAGGATGTCCTCAAAGATATCGTCAACTCACTCGGCTCCGACCCTGCAACCTTACCTTGCGTCCTCGACTTTCTCCGCGTTCTCCCCGAAGAAGTCACACATGGACGTAAGATCGCACTCACAGTACGTCCGAGCGAGCCGCGCCCCATTTGCAGCCTACGGCAATTCCCCGCGGTGCCGACACATGCTAGCAGAGTTGTAGTCTAATGTGTGGTGGTCAGGAACACGAGTTGACTATGAGGACGGCCGAGTTGATTGAAGACAACGCCCAGCAAGCCCTGGAACTCCTCGTACGATACGGAACCTCTTCACGTACGTTAATTTTCCCGGATTCCAGCCCACTCCAACTGACAGTTCATAGCTGCGGCCGCACAAAACCCCCAATTACTCCACTGCATCACCTCCTGGATACGCGAAATTCCATTGGACGCCATCATCAACTCTCCCTTGCTCAAGATCATATTTGACGGCCTCTCGCAAGAAGATCCTTTTGAAGCTGCGGTAGAATGCCTGAGCGCCCTCCTTTCAGAGACGAGAGACGTCGATGAGACTCTCAGTTCCATAATGATCCTCTATCCCCAAGTCATCAACCTTCAAACGAAGCTCGCCGAGGCGGCACAAGAGGAGGATACTGAAAAGTTCAAGGGCATTGCGAGGATATTTGCCGAAGCTGGAGAGTCTTGGGTCATCCTCATCGCCCGTCTACCGACCGATTTCCGTGCATTAGTCGAAGCAATACTTGCCATAGCCGCGCTAGACAAGGAGAGAGATGCCATCTCCCATACCTTCAAGTTCTGGTACGACCTCAAGCAATACCTGACACTGGAGAAATACGCCGAAGCCCGCAACCAATGCCTAGACATTTACTCCAAGCTCGTCGACATCATGATAAACCACCTTCAGTTCCCGAAGCCGGAAGGTGGGAGTGGTGATGACAAGGACTTGTTCGAAGGCGATCGCGAACAAGAAGAAAAGTTTCGCGAGTTTCGACACCAGATGGGCGATGTTCTCAAGGATTGCTGTGAGGTCATGGGTGTCGTGGAATGCCTTCAAAAACCTTATGATCTCATTCAGCAGTGGGTTCAAACATACGGCGCGCAGGCTGGGCCAAACAGTGTGCCAGAGTGGCAGAAACTGGAAGCGCCTTTGTTCGCGGTCAGAGCCATGGGCCGCATGGTGCCTTCAGATGAGAACATCATGCTTCCACGACTGATTCCACTCATTGCAGGCATACCCGACCACAACAAGTTGCGATTCCAAGCTGTGATGGCTCTAGGAAGATACACAGAGTGGACGGCTCAGCACCCTGACACGCTACAGATGCAATTGGACTACATCATGGCAGCTTTTGACCATTCAACCAAGGATGTCATTCGAGCTGCTGCGCTGTCATTCAAGTTCTTTTGCAACGATTGCGCGAGCTTGTTAGTTCACTATGTTGGCCCGCTACAGCAGTTTTACGCAAAGAATTTGAACAAGCTACCCATTAGCAGTCAGGAAGAAATTACGGAAGGCGTCGCCTCTGTTGTTGCCAAAGTTCCCAACGACCAGCTTCTAGCAACACTCAAGCTATATCTCGACCCTGTCATGGCACACTTGATCGAGCTTGCACAACAAGCAAAGGACGAGCCAGACCAGAAACTCATTGCAGACAAGATCAACCTCCTCACGATATTCTTTGAAATGGTGAGGCCAGAGATACCACCCGGCCAAGAGCATCCAGCCGTCAAATACTGCGAACAGATTTTCCCCACCCTTGCCAACATGATCAGCCATTTCCACACAAGCATACCGATCCTCGAGCGTGTATGCAGGTGCTGGCGATACATGGTACTTTCTTACCAGACGGCAATGCGGCCACTTCTACCGGCTCTTGCCACAAAACTGATTGAAGGTTTCGATAAATCAAGACAGGGATGTTTCCTCTGGGCCACGGCATCGATAGTGCGCGAATTCTCGCAAGGCGTAGAAACTGTCGATGCAGGTCTGGCAAACGACGTCTACCAGTTCTATGAGCAGCAAGCGAAGACTTTCCTAAGGATACTCAGTGATCTGCCACCAGAAGAACTCCCTGATCTCATTGAGGATTACTTCCGTCTCGCAGCCGACATGGCACTCTACTTCCCATCCGAGTCTATCATGTCCCCGCTTATGGAAACGATACTTCTTGCAGCTTGTAGTTCTCTCACATTGCTCAAAGAGGATCCCATCATCGCAGTGCTGCACTTCCTACGCGACTTCCTTGGCTATGGTCGCAATTCATCGCCGTCGTCTACATTTGACAACACACGTCACGAAGTTCCAGAACAAATACGGGACCGCGTTAAGCAGCTTGTTGTGGGTGCTGGCGTCCAACTTGTCCAGCGTATCATGACGGGCATGATGTACAGCTTTCCCGAGGGCTGTTTTGCCGACTCATCTGGCGTTCTTCTCGACCTGTTCGAGCTCATGCCTGAACAGGTTGCACAGTGGGTTGCGAGCACCGTGGCTATGTTACCACAGGGTAGCATCACACCTCAAGAGAGCGAGCGCTTCCTCAACAACATTCGCCAGCGGATCCAGACAGGCGATGTTAGGATGATTAGGACGATTCTGCAAGACTTTACGACTAGCTATCGTCGAAGAAACGTGGCCCCCCGAGAGGGCCTCGGCAGGCTGGAGGCTTCGCGGTTTAGGTTTTCTGGTTAGCGGCTGAGCACTGAACCGTTGCTGTACTATTTGAAAGCATCGGTTGAGCGCATGCTCCGAGGTAAAGTGATCGTCGAGACGCTCCATCAGGTCAGAGCCAAGTCGAACACGTCCATAGCGCTTATGTAGGTAGGTTCACTATTGAGACAATAGGGATGCAATATATCTGGTGTGGGATGGAGTAAATATCAAAAGAGCATAATTGTACTTGAAGCGTTTGTGTGTTGGCATTTGCATGGAAGAGAGGGATATGGAAGGAAAGGATACCATTGATGAGATAAAGTGGGGTTTGTCGTTACAGCTGCTAAGATAGCCTTGGATTTATTTGTTTTCATAACCGTGTTTGACTGCAACAACAGGAGGCATACATGAAGTGATGTTGGAATGGATTTTCGTCATGTGGTGTGTATTTTGCAGAGATGGTGATAGCGAGCATGTTAATACTGCACCATTGCCAAAGCACCAGATACATACGCCACCCGATCTTCTTGCTGTACGTTAACGAGCCGCTAAGGTGATACGGAAGTCATGCAATAGCGTGACCACAAAATGCAGATGACTGAAAGACCACAATATGCCTGTTTTTTTTTGGAAATCCGTGGTCGTCAATACCGTTCACACCAACTGCTGTTGCTGCCTGGTGCAATCTTTTCGGGCAGTAGCTGCCAACCGACACTTCTTATCACTGACATCACAAAACATATTGCATCACGCTCAACCTTCTCTCCCCTCCCTCACCTCATAGCTCGCTGCTCATCCATACTACTAGATGGCTGCTCAACAACATCCTACTTGAGCACTGTCGACGCTACCATTGTTTTGCTACACTTCCTCATACAACTCCTTCCTCATTTCATCTATTCGTCCCTTGGCAACTCTCACCAATACAACACTTCAACTACCAAAGCTACGGGTCTGCCATCTGGTATTTGTCTGGGACTGTTTCGACTCACCAAAACACGACGCCATACTTTGATTCGAGCCTCGTTGGCTCTGCGGCCACCTTCGCATTAAGTGTGTCTTTCTGGTCCAGATTACAGATTCAAAAATCAAGGATGTGCATTTTCACATTGCTAATACAGTCACAGGTGCATCTCGCAGTCACCACAACGTTTCCCTTTACCTATTGTATATACGGGCTGCCTGCACAGTACCGGGAAGAAGAATACTGGCGAAGCTTTTTACTTGATACCATTGAGGAAGTGGACATCCTGGATCCATCACACGCGAGGCCTGGCCGAATCAGGGCTAATTCTACGGGTTCTAATCCTAAACCAAGGTCATTGAGCTCGAGCATATCGGGAACGTCGCAGCACTCGACCCGTATCAGAAGGCATTCTCAGCCCACGCCACCGCCGACACTTGCTGAAAAAGTTGCATTGGGACCACAGCTCAATCCCTGGCATCCCAAGCACCCTTATCGACTCACTAGACACGGTTCTCTACAAGACATTTACATCCGCAGAAAGGAGCAACGCCTAAAGGAAGCTGCAGATTACGAAGAGCGTTTGATTCAACTCCGCCTTCAGCGGCGCAGGAGTTCGCGACAACTCGACGGCTCGAGGTCAGCTGGAAGCTCACCAAACATAAGTCGTACAAACTCTGAGAAGGAGCTCTCAAGAACTTCTTCGTGGAAGAACCTTGCCAAAGAGCTAGCATCCTTTGAGAAGTTTGGGCCGCTTAAACGCACAAATACTTCCGAATCCGTGGCGTCTTCGAGATCTGAACAGTCCAACAGATCCAGAAAGTCAAATCTCCGCCGGGTACTGGTATTGGAACGTACTAGTTCAGATGATCGAGGCGTTCAAGGACATGAAGCACGGCAAAAGCAGCAGTTACGACAGTTTAGCATTGGAGCGGACAGCGAGCCAAATATTGCATCGCATGGAGGACAAGGACTCGGAGTATGCCCTGGAAAGCACCCGGACAAGAGTACTCGGTACGTGTGTTGTTCAATGCTGGTGACAAAAAACTGACTTGTCGTAGCGAACGCGCGCGCGATCTATGGACCGAATCGATGTTTAGACGTGATAAGCTTCGCTCCGACTTCCTCAAGAAGAGTTGGGGCGTGCATCGTCGAACACAATCCATCCAGTAAATCATATATCCATTGCTGTTCTGCAAAAGAGACCTCACGTCTTGCTGCTTTGGAACATTTGCTTGTCATCACCGAAGACTTGCTTCAACGCCTTATGGATGTCGAGGGCATCACAAGCAGTGGGTGGCTTCCCGCTACTCCACAGTCACAGCATGCAGCGATGTATGGCAGCGCATGCGGCAGCACAGTAGGTGGAACGGGAAGTGGTAGCATGGCCAGCAGTGTGCAGACAAGTCGGAGGGGAAGTACTCAACCACAAGAGTAAAATTATCCCTGATCTGCTTTAACATTTCCCTTATTTTGTACCTGGTATCAGGTTACTTACAAGCCATAGTATGTTCCTTGATTACGCGCACGGCTCACCGCAATCTACGCAGCCACCGCAACAACTACAACATCCACACTCAGTACCTTCCCAACTTCCCTTTGTCAATGACTTCAATGCACCTAGCTCGCCTCACCATATTCAGAAACCGAGGCTCCCCAGGGGCGGCAGCGAGACATCATTCCCTACCAGTACACCAAACCCAATGGCACAGACGATTGCCAGGACGAACAGCGATGTCATTCAGCATCCCAAGCCAGTGCCCGTCGGTCAGTTGGCAGTTCCTGGGCGCGGCAGAGTGCAGTGGAATCTAGGTTCCGAAGGCTAAGCATGGCGATACAATGTCAGCTATTGCTTGATTGAGTTTTGAAGTTTCAAAAATAACGAGTTCATGAAATAGGGTGAGGTTACCTATAGCTCATCACTACCTTTGTTAGCAACACGCAAATGACATCTTTGGTTGTATGAGAGAGAGGCGACTGGTGAGTTACATAACCTAGACTGACAACAGCAACCGGCATACCAGGACCCTACCCACATGACTTGCGCGAATTGGGCAAAAAAAGATGCAAGAGCAAAAACATACGACAGCGGGGATTCGCCAGTGGTCACCCACCTGACTACTAATCCGCCGATTTCAAGCTTGTATAGGCCAGATCGAACGGGATGGCTAAATTTCTTGAATCTATGGCCGTATGTGGCAGAAAAACCAGGATAAGTTCTTCAGATTCGTGAAACACTGGAAAATACTGGGAATAAAAACCAGGAGGTTTTCCAGCGTGCGCACGTGATGCTATCGATATCCCAAACTAGCTTAGCACTGCCGCATCGACGGAAAACAACGTCTACACCCTTTCGCACGCCGCGTAAAGATAGAAAATGATTATATATTAATGGCACTATCAAAAAACTCGTAAGACACCACTAAATTCTCAAAGGTGTAGGTGCAGAGTCAGGATCTCGTAATTGCATACAAGAGTGAAGTGATGGGCCTCAAGAATGGCGGGGGTGCATTTTGATGCATACAACCAGTGTCCTCAATCATAGATCTCTCCGACTCAATGTATATACTCCTAGCTTATCCATCATACTAGAGCCCAAGTCAGAGCGCTTGCAGTATTAGGGCAAAGTACGACGTAGACGGCACGGTTGAAAGGGTGACTGACAGGTGCTATTAGCGCGAAATCTTGGCGGCGCAGCGCACACATTGAATTGCCCCACTGGCCGCCACTTCTTACCGTGCTGTATCTGACAACAACCCCGACTTCAGGACCGACGCCTACACAGAACAGCACATACATAGCCGCTGACATGTCACGACCTGCAGGGTGAGTCTATCTGTGCCCTGTGCGTTCATGCGCATCCCACTGTCCTGGATTCTCTGGCGCGCCAACTCGTCACCTATTTCGCCTCAACCGAACGTCGATAAAAGTCTATATGCTGACGATTGCCATGTAGCCGCACCGACTGGGCGGAAGAAGACGACGAGGAGTCCCTCACCTCCCTCCCACCCAACCAAGTCATCAAGAACAAGGACGGAACCGAAACAGTCATCTCCTACCGTATTGAGGATGGCAAGAAGATCAAGACCACCCGCCGCATCAAGAAGACCGTCGTCAAGCAAGTCGTAAACCCACGTGTCGCCGAACGAAAGCAATGGGCCAAGTTTGGTCAAGAAAAGGGCAAGCCACCCGGCCCACAAACAGATACCGTCTCCGTGGCCGAGAACATTGTGTTCAGACCAGTATCGAACTGGAAAGCAAGCACCGAGGACAAGGGCGACGAGGCGAAGAAGAAGGCCGAGCTCAAGAACGCAAAGATCAAGTGTCGTATTTGCCAGGGCGACCATTTCACGACAAAATGTCCGTTCAAGGATACCATGGCTCCCGAGGGCGATGTTGCGCCTGCAGACATGCCCGACGATGCGCCCGGCGTTGGTGCATCAGGAGGTCTTGGTGCTGGATCTGGAGGATACGTGCCACCACATCTGCGTGGACGTGGTGGTGCTGGCGAGAAGATGGGCGGCAAGTTTGATCGTGACGACAGCGCCACCCTTCGTGTCACCAACGTTTCCGAGTTTGCTGAGGAGCAAGATTTGCGCGACATGTTCTCAAGATATGGACATGTTACCAGGGTCTTCTTGGCCAAGGACAGGGAAACTGGTCGTGCCAAGGGTTTCGCCTTTGTCAGCTATGCAGACCGATCAGATGCTGCAAAGGCGTGCGAGAAGATGGACGGATGTAAGTCTTGTGGTCGGATATTTCATGCGGGAACTTTACTAACGAAGCTGCAGTCGGTTTCGGTCATCTTATCCTTCGTGTCGAGTTTGCTAAGAAGGCTTAAGTGATTGGCGATGATTACCAGATGCTATGTAATTTGGCGTTCGGGGCTGGGACTACGGCCTCAGAGGCGGGTCCTTAGAGTTGGTGATGGGTATCTTCTATGAGCTTGCACGAGGTAGATGCTCCTTTTGCCTATCAAAACGATGGGTGTTTTACGTTAGTCTGTACGACTATACATTACGCTACCGATTTTCAGCTCGAGCCCTGGCATGAAGAGATGACGAATACTTCCGCAACATCGACTGCCAAATGGCTTATGCATCATGTCATGTATTGTGCAATCTCTCTGGCTGTGTGATGAAGAACAAGACATTGTTCAAAGTGAGCAGGGGAGTAGAAAGTGAAGGAGAGAGAACAAGCAGTTAAACACTTTGAAAAAAAATATTTTAAGGATGTAGCATTGAATGCAAAGCAGGTAATATTCGAGCCAGCAAGTCTTCTCATGCTTGCTCTGCCATGCCTGCATGATCTGATTCGTCGTGGTATCATAATCCATCTCCAAAGAATTCCCCCTCATCTTAGTCGCTGGCCCTGTATTTGGCTCTGTACTCATCTAGTCGCTTCAGGTCCTCCTCTCCGCCCAGGCTCCTCAAATACTCGACCACATCGTCCAGTGTCAGGATAGCAAGCACTGGAATGCCGTACTGCTTCCTCACCTCGCCAATTGCACTTGGCCCAGGCTTGCCGTCATCATCGGTAGCAGTAGGAGTCTTTTCTTGCCTGTCAAAGGCAACAATGATGCCAACCAATTCTCCGCCTTCCCTCTTGATGATGTCGATAGCCTCTCGGATCGCAGTACCAGCGGTGATGACGTCGTCCACGATAACAATCTTCTTTCCCTTGAGGCTGGCACCGACAATGTTGCCGCCCTCGCCGTGGTCCTTTGCTTCTTTGCGGTTGAAGCTGTAGCTCTTCTGCCCGTACTTGGCGAGATCTAGATCGGCGAGTTTATCAACTGATGCCGCTGCGAGGGGGATGCCCTTGTATGCGGGTCCGAAGAGGATGTCCCATTGGAAAGAGGCATCGGCCTCTCCGTGCGCCTTGAGTGTGTGAGCATAGGCTGAGGATATTGAGCGCAGCAAGTCGGCTCTGTGGAATAGCCCCGCATTGAAGAAGTAGGGCGATATGCGCTTGGACTTGAGGGTGAAAGTCCCAAACTTTAGCGCACCCGCCGACACACAGTCCTTGAGGAAGTTTTGCTTGAATTCTGGAAGTGCCATGGCGAATTGTTGCTCCTGGGCTGTGCGATGGGTATGGGTGAGTGTGTTCCGAGGGTGGTGGGCGTTTTCCATGATTTCTTTCCGAGCTCGGAAGCAGAGACCCTTCGAGAAAGGTCCGTGCACGGTGTCGTTCGTCACTGTTCAATGTTGCTCGCCAGAAGTTTTCGCGACATCACCGCCGACGCCCCAGCACACGCCCCATTGCCCTGCGCCTCTCCGCCCTGCGCCATCCTACGCTTTTCCTTTCCTTGCTTTCTTCTATCCACATACTCCGTGGGTTACGGGTCTTGGTAGCGATCTGGCGCAGCCTCTTATCTTTTCTTTATACCGGCACAGCACGACATCTTCAATATGGCTATGTATGTGCTTTCTTTGTGACTCCCAATGAAACTTCAATTCGAGACCTGCTGACACCCACACCAGCTGGGATACATTAACAGGACGCAAGGCCAAGGAGGCCGCACCACAACCGCCACCAAATAACGACTTTGTAAAAGAAGATACTTTCCAGCCCACACCATTCGACCCCAGCACCGCCATCCAGAACCCCTCCGAGTTCATCCTCGACCCCACACAATTGCACCCTCTTGCGGGCCTCAACCAACAGACGCTCGAATACCTCTCACTCGAAGACCAACTCCCATCCGATCTTCCTGGCTCGCAATCGGCCCTGCCCTCGCGTGGCTGGTCAGACGACTTATGTTATGGCACCGGAGTCTCGTACCTGACGGCGCTGACAATTGGTGGCGCATGGGGACTTGCCGAGGGACTACAGAAGAACCCGCCCAGCATGCCACCACGGTTGCGGCTCAACGGTGTGCTCAATGCGATAACGCGGAGAGGGCCGTTTTTGGGAAACAGTGCAGGTGTGATTGCCATGGTGTACAATGGAATAAATAGCACCATTGGCTACTACAGGGGAAAGCATGAGATGAGCAACAGCATAGTCGCAGGCGCCTTGAGCGGTGCCATCTTTAAGAGCACAAGAGGGACGAGGCAAATGGCCATTAGTTCGGGTATTTGCGCCACTGTAGCAGGATCCTGGGCGGTAAGTTGGATAGCCATTGAAGCTAGGAAATTTACTAATGGTGACTCAGATAACACGAAAGGTCTTTTTTGAGCCTGATCAAAAATCTGAGTAAACCAAGAACAGTTGTGTCTTGAGCCACAATGTTCCCGCCATCGTAGGCGTTCCGAGTTTTCGGAGTTTTCGTCGCAATGATGTTCTCGTCTTTTCTACGTTCGACACTTTTTGCATCTATACCGTCGATCTTGACGTATCCCTCACCACTCTACGGGCGGCCTCCGCTGCCCACTGTACAATAGCTGGCGTTCCTGGATGAAGACCGCATGAGGTTTAGAGAAAAAAGGCATGGTGTTGGGCTTCTGGGTCTTTGGGCGACTGGCTGTGTATTGTATGTAAGACGAAATGATGGAGCAAATTAATGACATTTGATCAATTGAGCTGCATTATGCATATTGGATCATTCTGGCAGGAGGAGAAGAGCAGGCTATACTGGCTGTTATTATACTGACGATTCGCTTCGTGAGTGGTGTGGTTCGCATTGGAGCCAATGCGCAGGGGAGAGGGGCCGCCTTTAGCGCAAGCCCCTGCAACTGCACCCATGCACTGCAGTCAAGTACACGGTCGCCTGTACGCACCATCGTATATTCCAGCGCCACGCGCCATGGTGAATTTTACTAACGCTACGGCTACCGGAACGACCTCGTCGTGTAGCTTCGGTTTGATCGGCAATCCATGTTGCCTTGGCATATGGGTCACGTCCCCTACGTTGTCTCTCACCTGAGAGGTGTCCTAAAGCGCCGAGTCCATCTCCACTATATTCCGTATATTACAACGCCCCCGGGTCAGCACCTTTGCACTAAGCACCTCTTGCCGCTCTGTTACTTGACACTCTGGCACGGTGCAATTGTCCTAGTCTAGCCTTGTAGGCAGTACATGGTCGATGGTGGCTGCTTACTTGGTCGTTCCAGTCTCCTTTAAATCGTTCACTCAATGAGGGACTATAGTTTCCACTGCCCATCTCACCATGCGTAGGATCAAAGTACCCCGCGGGGTACCATACCAGCAGCCCATGTCCCGGCAACACAAACGATTCCTGCTCTACGCGCTCGGTGCAGC